AAAAAAAAAAAAAAAAAAAAAAAAGAAAAAGAAAAAAAAATTGAAAAAGGTAAAATTGTCGCTTAAAGGGGCGGTGAGTAGTATTAGAGGGACCGTATTTAATAACACCTTTTAATTTAGTGTTTGCATGTTTATCATCAGCTGATAAAATATTAAAACCACTGATATGGTATCACAAGACCTCTGAACCTACATACTAGGCATATATTCTTGATGATCTCAAGGAACTTTGACCATCTTTTTATCAATCTACATTTAACAAAGGATAATTGAAAAAGTATCCTTGAGATTTTTCTTAAATATAAAGCAGGTTGGTTAAGAAACACAGTAAATTTAAAAAACTGAACGAGTTAAATATATTATCAGTCGTATGTTTATAATTTGGCAAAATATTATTTTTGGCATGCCAAGTTACCATTTATCATGAAAAGTCCAAAAAAAATAAATAAAAAAATTTGGAAAATTTCAAACTTAATATGCTAACTTTTTATCCCGTCCATCATGATTAAATTGTACATTTTTTATTTTTTTTTTTAATTTTTCGTGTAATTAGTGTATTATGTTTAATTAATGTATAAATGCTAAATTGATGTACCTTTTCTAAATAGGGTCAATTCGGCATACCAAAATAATTGCTTTTATAATGATGTGTAAATAGATATATTATCATCACCTTATAACATATTACAATCATTCAAAGTAAATCTAACAATAATATGGCGGGACATACGGTTCAATTACTAAAGGTTAGGAGAAAGCTATTGAATTGGGAATCTCAAATATCAATTCAAATCCTTATTTGTAAATTTGAAAAAAAACATTCGTGTACTTTTCGTGAATAGACAAAACCTCAAGGGCTAGATTTTGCAATTAACCCCCTACCCCATCCATTATAAATATCACCAAATCAGAGTGGTCACAAAATCAAGTCAACCATTTGCCTCAAATCCTCTTCAGAAAAAAGCAAATCAATATACAATTTTCCCTCCTTTTGACGATTTAAGTCAATACACACACACACACACACACACAACTCAATATAAAATGGAGCGTGTTGTAAAATTGGCTTCCCAAAGCCCGATAGTGATATTCAGCAAGAGCACGTGCTGCATGTGCCATGCAATCACGAAGCTGTTTCACAAGCACGGGTCAAGCCCGGTAGTGTACGAACTAGACGAGCAGGTCGACGGGAAGGAGATCGAACGGGCTCTCGTCATGGGCCTATCGCGAAGCCCTCCCATCCCCGCCGTTTTTATCGGCGGAAAATTCGTGGGCTTGGCCCAAGACGTGTTGACTTTTCATCTCGATGGGTCCCTCCGGAGGATGCTTAAGGATTCTGGAGCCCTGTGGCTGTGATAAAAGTAAATATATACGATGTAAATAATTAATGTGGCTCAATCAAAGCTTAAGGTTCTTCTCTTTCTCTTTGATGACCTGCACGATTAATTGTAAAGTCCCTTTTTTTTTTTTTTTTGAACAATCAACTGTGAAACTTGCCTACCAACTTGTGTATATTAATGTAACATAGAGGTGAATGTATCAATATTATTGTGTTAATAGTACATCAACAACTACAAAAAATAATATTTGCAATAGAATATCCTATGGTGATATATTTCAACGAAAATCCAAACGGTTATTTCAATGGTATAACTTCCGATGGATTGATTCCACCGAAAATTTCAACGGAATCATTCCGTTGGAATATGAATTTTTTATTGGAATTTAGATGGAATTTTATTATTCCAACGACCATTATTCAACTGTTTTTTACTGTAGGAATTTCCGCTGGAATATACGATTTTTTTGGAGTTTTTATTTTTACTCATATTTCAACCGTTGGAAAAAGTAGCATTGGAATCGTCAAAATCCAATGGAAATAGGGTGGTATGAAAAAGAGGAATAGATCATCAGAGAGCAAAAATGAAAACTCATTCCAAGGGAATATTTTTGTCAAATTTTTCATTGAGATCTACTGGATTTAATGAAAATAATAGCATTGTAATATCCATTTGAATTTCTGTTGGACTGATCCATTGAAATATATTTTCGTTAAAATTTTCCATTGGAATTTCATCACATTCTTGTAGTGATCTTCGTGATAAAGTCGGTTATTTTTGTAGTTATAGGATTGATGGGTCTTATCCTAGATCTAGAGTGAACCGGTAGTAGAGAGCTCCGATCTGTTTGAACCACTTCCAAATCAATTTGATGGGTCTTCTCCTAGATCTGGAGTGAACCGGTGGTAGAGAGCTCCGATCTGTTCGAACTGCTTCCAAATCGTCCTTCGTAGCTATGAACACCTGCAAGAACTCAACACCGGAGGTGTTTCCGGTGAAGAGCCTCCGACGCTCAAGTCAGTATGAGGGTGATGAAGTGAGCCCTGCTCAGTGAAAGCAGCAGTTCAGAATAATGAATGGAGAGAAAGAAAATGGGTTTGGGGTTACCTCCCTCTCCTTATATAGGAGTAAAACATTTACTTGAAGTCCTCCAAATGCCCTGACCGACTTACAAGAAATGTCCGAAATGCCCTGGCCGATTCGCCTTCCGTCCACTTCTTAGTCCTCATCCGAATTCCTTCTTATCCCATATGGTTTCTCTTATTCGGAGGCTTTCCTTATGCTATGTCGAAGTATATAGAAGTCGCCAGAGCTCTTGAAGCCTCGAGGCAGGACCAGTCGACTTCGAGTATCGTCGAGTCGACTTAGGTTACTTATAAGCATTTGGAGACTGCGCTTTGCTTTCTCGCCTTTTCAAGAGAAGTTGACTATAGAAGTCGACTTAGGTGAACCGTCTTCGAGCCGCTATCATGTTGGAGGCAATCCTTTTATAATTCGTGAGCGAGATCGACTTCAGAAAAGTCAATCTCGCCAATATCGTCTCTAATAGTCATCCGGTCGAATAGTCGACATCTGAACCGTATGATGGTAATAGGGCTATATCATCTAGTCCCCCCCAAAAACTACTCTAAGCGACTTTGGGCTTAAGAGTAAATTCGGTAGTTAAACTCTCCTCCAATTCCTTTGACTTACTATCTTGTGATGCTATGTTGTTTGCCTGGTGTCGATGGTGTCTGTAACTTCCTCCATTGCCCATGTTCTTTGTTGATAGTTTGTCTCGTCCTTGCCTTTTCCTTGTCATGTTGATGACTCACTTTGTTCGACCGGGACGCCTATGGTTTGATCCTATACTTAGAAATTTTCCCGAACATATCCACCACCCACTATCATTTTGAATCTCAAAATTTCTGAATTAAGATGTGGCACGCTGCCTCCGATCTCCTTTTACCGCTTTGAATTCCGTGCGCAATCTTAGCTGTTGGATTTCACTTTTATCTAAAGGTCAGGGTTTCCCTTCTCTCCTATAAATATCTTTCATTCTTTTTTCTCTCTGCATTTCTCAATTCTCTATTCTCTCAAGCTTTTCGGATTCCCAGCAGCCAGGCTTTTCGATTTCTCCGGCGCAAGTATCATCCACCCACCTTTTCGGCATTCTCCGAAGTCCTTACCTCAGTCAACATGTGTAAGTCTCCTCCATTCCATACTTCTACAATTTTTTGTTGGTTTTATGGGCTTTCGGTTTGGAGTTCAGGAACGTTCTTCATGTTCTTGATTGTCTTCAAATGATTTTTCGGAGTTGATGTTAGATCTTCAACGCTTAGGCTGAGCGCTCTTTATGTGTTCGCTTCGCGTATAGACCTTAGACACAAGTTCGATTTAATATTTTAGTAGGTCGACTCATGTGCTTTGTTGTTCCCTTGAGCTGGCTTTTGCCGACTTAGTAGTCCTATCCTGGAAAGTCGTCTTAACCTTGTGTCCATGTCCTTCAGTGTTCTTTTTCGTCCATCCGAGTCGAGTTAGAGACAATCTATATATTCTTTCTGCAGTTAATTTTCAATTGTGCATACCCTTACATCGACGCTTCTTCATTTCTTAATCCTTAATGCCTAGCTTGTGTTTCGTTGCACTGATCATCGCTTTTTTTTTTCAATAGATTCTGAATCCATTTCTATCTTCGGTTCTACCTCCGGTTCTCTTGCTCGTCAAATTGAAGATTATTCGGATTCCAACTCTGTCCAGATAATAGAGTTTAAGCCAACAGTCAAACAAGAGATATCGTCGAGTTCTTTGGTGTCGACTTTTGGGATTGACCAAGATGTGTATCATCAGGCTCTCCTATCAGGCGATTTGATGCAAAATAAGGAAGATCCCTGATGTGGAAGCGACTCTCCCCGTCTTAATCTCATACCTCAAGGTATCCCCCTTAGGCTTCTAGATATTCCTGTGTACAAAACAAATCCTGTATATCTATCAATAACAGCTCGTCTTTTCGAGCCTCATAATGTAACCATAGCCTGTCCACTAGTTAAATTAGTTGTTCTAAATCCATTTCTTTATGCCTCTGCAACCCAAATACAGGGGTTTAGGTCGTTCAGTGGCCTTCCCACCAATTGGGAGTTGGTTGCTTCATCTTCTAATGATGTCTTTTCTCGTCCCCTTAAGGGGTGTTATACATTTTTTATCGACCAAATACTATTCAGTATGTGTTTCCCATATCAACCTGAACTGTTGTCTATTAGCAATTTGTACAATGTTCCCATAAATAAATTTTCACCCAATTCCATTCGTATCATGGTAACCATCATTATCATCTCAAAAATAAAATTTGGCCGTTTTTCGCCTGAGTTTCTGTTCTATTGCTATAGTTACCGCTTCATAAAGGACGCCCATTGTCTGGGTCGTCGTCGTGGCGTTACTTTCCTCGAGGATCTTTCTTCAAAGGTCACCGAATGAAAAACGAAATACTTCTATATACGTCCTGCTCCCGGCCGCTATCCCTTCACAAACGGCTGGATAACCGAGAAGGTTAAATAAAATAAGCGCCCTCGGTCGAGCCAGTTGCAGTGTTATGCTCGATGACTTGAACAAATGCACTTGGAGTGCCCGCTTGTTGGTTAAGGATAAGGCTCTTCTTAACCATGTGGGTCTTTCGATTGATGATAGTGTCCCTCGACTAGACGACCCTCGTAAGTCGTCCATGCTTATTAATTCCTTGATTGTTTATCGAGTGTTTATGTTATTATCATCATTTTTTTTTTCTTTTGCACATGAATCGCATATCTCGACTATAAACTTGATGATTTTCTTTGTGCTAATAATTTTTGTGTACCTTTTAGTCAAAGCTTTGACTCGCTTTGAGACGAAGAAAGTCAAGGGCGATGAAAAGTCCGTTAGTCAGCCCGCCCTTCCAAAGAGCCCCGAGGGTGGCTCTGGTTCAAGCGCTCTAGGAGCAGTAGTCAAGACGACCGCTGTGCAAAAGGCCAGGGTCGAGAGGCTCACTGTTCCCCCCTCAATTTATCGGGATCTCATTCTCGCAAGCGACCACTGGATGAGAGGGATGTGGTTCTCGTTCCTGACGATCTTTAATGTCAAAAAATGCAGGATAAAGGCAAAGAGAAAGTTATCGAGAAGTCTCCCTCGGCCCCCGTCACGACCGAAGTTATTACTGTGCAAAGGCCCTCTCGTCTTCACAACAATCCCAATGCTTATTTAGTCGCTAAGTATCTCGACCCCATTCTTCCCGAGGCCGACGAAGCCCGTGTCTCGGACGATCCCTATGATGTCTCTTGCTATGTCGTCTTCACCCTCTCTCGGGTATTTATTTTTTCTTTCATCTTTTCTTTCCCAATTATCTTCGTGAATCATTATTTTCTAAATTTTTTATCTCGTTACTCAGCTTATTGCCTCCATGCTCCCCAACTTTCGTGAGGGAACCTCTTCTCCTATGAACAACATTAAATACTGTAAAGGGAGGTATGCTGCCCAATGTAAGAAGTTTGATGAGCATAAGGAGGATCAGGAGGCCTCGAAAGCATTGGTTCTTAAGTTGAAACCCGACAAGGAAGCTGCCTTAAAGCAAGTCGAGGAATTGAAAGCAGAGCTTGAGAAAGCTCATGAGGATGGGTTGGTCGAGAGGGAGGCCAGACTCGGGGAATGGCGTAGGACCTTTCCCAAGTCGCCTATGGGGTCTATCTTGCTCGAGACTTACCGCAAGGAGGTCGTTCAAGCTTTCCTCAACTCCCCAGATTTTCTCGACGAGATCTGCCCCGCTACTCTCCAATACTTCAACTTTACCTTCAATTCATGGGAGTCTGTTGCTAAGAGCACTTCTCTCGAGGAGAAAGTCGACCGGCAAGCGCTTAAGGAGACTCACTCTCTCTCGACGGGATATCATGGTGATACGTCGCTTCCTGATGATTACCCCTGGTGATCGAAGTTTGAGGCCAGGGCCATTCGCAAGGCTGGCTTGAGTGCTCAAGTCGAGATTCCCCCCACCCCTTTGGTCAGTCCGACCGA